AATGTAATCAATCACCACTTTCTTCCTGAATACTAGGATCACCCCTAAATTGACTTACTTTTCAATACAAAAACCTCAAGTTTCAACACCTCATGATCATCCCTCCAAAAATAACTGCACAAACTCTAATCCCTTGGAAATAACAAGTTTCCACTACCAACCGCTCTTTCGGAAGTGGTGCAAACTCGACATGAAAACACACATCATTCGTGATACCTGACACTATAGTCAACAACCTATTACAAGAAAAAGAATCATACGTGGCACACTACAGAAACAGTCCCTAAGAGAAAAACAAACACTACACTAATTGGTCAATCACATAAACCATAATAGACGACGACTACAAAATAATGGTCTCACGTTGGTATCTAACTGGATACTCAAGTCATACCTACAACTGATCCATCCAACCAAACAAAAGGGTATACAACTGTTACACCCCTGACACTATCATTACCCAACCAATCGGTACAATTACTATCCAACACAATGGAATGTCCACATCGATTTAATTTGAGTTGTGTGCCCGTAGCTCGCTCAGTATGGTAGCCTTCTGGTGCCACCTGCACACGCTCACATACACCCGCCCACAAGGCCACAAAATAAATAAATCAAATAAAACAGGTCACCAAGCCCAAGAGGTCACTCTTCATCCTGGCTCAACACAATCTGTGACCAATACTCTATGGTCACCAAATAATATCACACTTAGTTTTTGCCTCCTTCACTGGGAATCATAACAAAAGTTGCAACCTACTCATCCCGTCGCCAACTCAAGATCAACCTCAACTTTTACTCCCAAAACGGTAATCTAAGAGACAAATTTGTAATCTTAAACATTAATGAACTTTTAAATAAAAATCCATCCCAAGAGTCCATTCGCTACACCGAAGAAGCACAACACAACCCTCACCTGTGCAAGAAAATGAGGATTTCCGTCCAGGAAGACACCTAAGATCAAACCCTTTCACCGTTACTAGTCTCTAGGAAGAAGGCTCCCAATGGAACAACGTATTCAGGTCAAACCGGACTCAGAAGATTGTGCTATTCACATCATCCTTGCTCACAATGCTGATACCCACCCCAATCATAGGTGATAACCCACAGAATTAATACAACACAGAAGTGCGTATGCTAAACAATTTCCTACTCAGAACATAACACCTATACGTGGATCATTTAAATCTGTGCTACACACATATAACATATAAGCATGTGATCACGCAAACAAATTTACACGTGGGCAATTAAACAGGTAAACAAATAAACAAGTAGACATGCTGTTCAAACATTTAAACACTTTAGCATGTAACACATAGACAAGTAAATGATTTAGCATGCTCTTTCAAATATCTAAACACGTAACAAATAATCTCACATGCAATTACAAACAACTTCCCAAGCAATCCCACATAGGCCTCCACCCGTCGTCCAAAGGTTTTCGAACCATTGCTCTGCTACCATTTTGTAACGACCCAGCTCCTCATGGATCCGGATCCTTAAACAGGTCCTTACCCGACCCAAAAACATCCGAGGGTAGAACGGTCATTTCACGTTAAATTTAAATATCAAGGTCCGAAAAGGGGCAAGATGGTAATTTGCCATATTTCAATAAATTTAGACCTAAAGGACGTAATAGTCATTTACTTGCATCACGTAACAATTAAAATAAGGTTCGGGGCAATATAGTCCTTTCGGTGGTCAAAACATAATTATTGCATTTTATTGGGTCATAAAATAATTACTTGCAACATCAAATGGGTGCCAAAATGTAATTTTGGGAAATTAAAATAGAGTTTAATTAAAAGGCAGAAACCGGTCGACGTATGTACACTATACGTCGACTGGTTTGGGTTATGAACAGTGGAAAAACCCACTGTTGAGATACCGTCGACGTATGGGAAGCCATACGTCGACTGGTTTGGAATGTAAGTTATAATGGATACCGGTCGACGTATGGGAAGCCATACGTCGACTGGTTTGGGATATGATACCAGTCGACGTATGGGAAACGTCGACTGGTTTGTAATGTGAGCCACAATGACCCACACTGTGAAGATACCGGTCGACGTATGGGAAGCCACACGTCAACCAGTTCTGGGAAACTCTCACTTCTTCTTCTTCTTTTTTCCACTGTCCAATGATAACCCAAATACACAACATTAGTAATTCAACCACCACGCCACTACACTCACGTGTAATTTTACCCACATTTTAACATCTAACGAAAACACAACAACCATCAATAACATAAATTACCACACGTTACTTAAATACTTAAACTGATTTTGAGTGAGTAAAACTTAATTACATTTTCTCAATAGCCATGAATACAAGTTTAATTACATTCCCAAAACTATAATTATACATGTAATGGCTAATTACAAAATAGCAAAAAAAGTCATCTTCCAACAATTGTCAAGCTTGCGGTGGATTTTCATCCGCCATTTCCGTGCCATGACCTGAAAAAAATATAATAATATCGTGGGGTGAGCAATTTGGTCAGTAGGTGACGCTCAAGACACGCCTCTTGTGTCCCTGTGAATCCAAACATAGAATAGGTCAATGGGAATGGGGATCATACAATATCAGAGTAATACAACATTCCAACCAAACTCTAATACAAACAATGCAATGCCATGGAATGCAAATGCATGCCAATGTCGCTCCCCATTTTCTTTTCGCAAAATCATCTCTTTCAAACTGTTAATGTAACCCCCTTTGGTGACTCCGCAGCGCTGAGAGAATGATTGGCTACTGTCCCTGACCTTTGGTGACTCCGCAGCGTCATTATGGGGCCTAGATAGCTCAACCACGCTAGGGCAATCTCCCTAGCTCCCTCTAGGTTACATTAACCTACCGGCCCGTTGGTGACTCCGCAGCGACCGTGTTTTATCAAAATACTTTCATCAATACATTCTTTCCCAAAATTTTCCATTTTCTTTTCAAAATCAATTCTTCCCATTTCTTGCCCAATGTAAATGCATAAATGCATTTATGTCATGCCAATGTTCATCATCTCACAATTAGCTCAAATTTAATTAGCTAACACAATTCATAAGAACATCTAAAAAAGCTACAATATGCTTTTACACAATAGAAATAGCATAATGGAATTATAAATTCAACACTTAGGCATATTATTCATACATCATTTATAGTATATTAGCAACACAATGAATACAAAACTCAACATATAGCATGCTTCTATGTACAATCAAGTTAACACTTATTCATACAAATTCACATATCCTCAATTAAGTCATTTTAAACTAAAATCAAAGCAACTAAGCATGCTAAGGCACAATTCAAGTAGATTAATTCACTAAAGCGCAAGAACTTCGTGGATTGAGAACCCCTACCTCTAGATTGCACAAAACCCTTAAAATGGTCTCCAAATTCGAATGCACAAGGAGGCACCAAAACTGAAATTATTGGTACACACACATAGAGCTCGTCGTGCTCTCCGATTTGCCTCAAACGGCACCCAAAATCTCTAAGTAATGAGAGAGGAATCCAAACTTAAAGTTTGGTACAAAAATGAAAAAGAAAAATGAAGAAGAGAAGAGAGGAAAGGAAGGTTATGGGAGAGAGAAAGTAAGAAAGCCAAAAATGGGTTTCTAGACCACTTATGCGGTTAGTGGTGGGTCCCACCAATTTTATTTTCTTTTCCCTTTTCTTTTACTTTCATTTTACACCTCATACACATAAATGCACCACATATAAATACCACTTAACCCACATAAATTAAAATGCACAAATGCAATTGGGCTCTACTACAATCCCTGCACGCAAGAAGTGAAAAGACGAAAATGCCCTTGCGGCGACAGTATCTCCGAAAAAATGTAAAATGCCTAAAATCGGAAACGTTGAGTAAAGCGAGAAAGTGAAGTGAATTTGTTCTCATATTCCGCCACTGACATGCTCCCTTGAATAAGGTTATGAAACTAGTTTTGTAACTCCCATCTTTTGGAAAGCGGAAAGTACTTTTCATAAAACAATTCCTTAAACTTGTCCAAACTCATCTCCTCTACCTTGTACCGGCTCGTAACCGACTTCCACCATAGTTTGGCATCCTTAGCAAACTTATAAGTAGCTAGGATGATCTTCAAATGATCGTTCGTCACATCCATTAAAATTAGTTAAGTCTCAACTTGATCCAGGTAGTCATCTGCTGCCATTGGATTCGCACCGCCCTCAAACATAACCGGCATTAGCTGAGAAAACACCTTAATGATCTTGAAACGCTTCTGAGCTGGCGTCTCCTCAACTTGAACTGTAGGTTGTGGTGCCGACTGCGACTGAGCAGCAATCGTTGCCCTCACGGCATTTTGCAACAAACGATTCAACTCTAGTGCCATAGAACCTTCACCCACTTCTACGGTTGCTTCAACATTAACCCTCCTTGTGGGGACAATTCTCGGCGGAATCAAGTCCCTAAGAAGTGTGTCCTCATCATTTAGCTCCTCCGAATTGGAGCTGGAACTCTCGCCAACATCACCCCTAGTCGGTCTAGGGCCAACTTTCCTGGTCTCCTTATGCCGTGACATCGTTCTATAAAACAAAGAAAACAATTCAATAACGATAACACTAAGGTCCAACCGTGAACAACCCAACACAAAAAGATATTGTACAAACACTTAGCATGTAATACTATGCAATGAACACATTAATATAAGCATATAAGCACATAAGTACGTGAGCAAGTAGGCAGTTAAGCATGCTTTTTCACATAGCAAAACACTTTTGCAAATAAGGAAATAACAATACAATTGACTTCCCAGACAATCCTAGGTAAGCCTCTACCCGTCGTCCTAATGGTATTCGAATTATCGCTCTGATACCAAATTTGTAACGAACCTAAACTGATACCATTTAAAAAAAAAATCGGCATGACCTCTCCTAAAAAAGGGCCAACCACAACCTGTTTAAATGCATTTTAAGCCTGTCCCAGCACAATAAACATATAATACATCCCAACATTCCAACATCCCTTTCATCCATTTATCATGCTTTAACTTAGTTCATTCCATAGTGGTATAACCACATACGATATCATCCAGATAACATAGTTACAGTCCCAAAATCAAATGTCCATATTTTACAATATTTAGACAGCTCATACAAAAGTTACAGCCCATAGGTATAATTATAATAATAAGAGTCCACAAACCTCTATACCGAATATAACAAACTAAGATTTTACAAAAATATGGGACTTAATACAAAAATAGAAAAAAGTCTTCTAATCCAAATTAGGCCTGTGGTGGAAAGTCATCCGCCACTTCTTTCCCGTTTCCTGAAAAAAATTATTAAATAATAGGGTGAGAATAAAGCTCATTAGGTAACACTTAAGACACGCATCTTGTGTCCTTGTGAATTCAACCAAAGAATAGAGCAATGGGAATGGGGGTCATACTATGTCGGGATCATATCACTTAACAATCAACTCAAATATAAACAATATAATGTAATGGGAATACAATACATGTCGATGTCGTTCCCCATTTTCACATCTCAAAAATCATCACTTTCAAATTGTTAATATAACCCGCCCTTTGGTGACCTCGCAGCGACACGAGAGAAGGATTGGCTAGTGTCCCTGACCCTTGGTACCCCCGCGGCGTCATTATGGGGCCCAGCTAGCTCAACCACGCTAGGGCGACTTCCTAGTTCCCTCTAGGCTATATTAACACTCCGACCCTTTGGTACCCCCGCGGCGACCGGGTTTTCAAAAAACACTTTTCATCAAACACTTTCCCAAAATCCCCCTTTTTCATTTCAAAACAATCTTCCCAATCATGACCCATGGTATGCATGTATGTCTTGCTTTCACAATGCCATAGAATTAAGGGATTTTATATTTCACATTTAAACATACTCTACAAATATTGAGGAAAAATTACACATGCCATTACATATCATTTCTAACAAATTTTACAATAATATAGGCATGTTATATCAACTATTAGACAAGAAATTAACCAAATAAACACGTTCACCTACAATTCACATAGCCCATTTAATCACAACTTCTCATATAACATCTACATCATCCACAAGACAATTAATTTATAATCAAGCATGCTTTACAACAATTTAGGAGGAGTAATTCATATAAGAGCAAGAAAAACGGGAATTAAGAACCCCTACCTTACTTTTGCACAAAACCCTTAAAATGGGTCTTGAATTTCGAACTCCAAGGAGGGCACCAAATCTGGAATTGTTCGTATGGATGCGTAGAGCTCGTAGTGGGCTTCGTTTTGCCTTCAACGGCACCTTAATCCGCAAGAAATGAGGGAGAAATTAAGTTCTAAAATTTGATTGAAAAAGAAAAGAAAAAAAACAGAAAAGGCGTGAGAGAGAGAGCAGCGGGAGAAGAGAGCTACATACCAAATATGGTCTTAAGGGCTTAAAGTGATGGTGGTGGGTCCCACCTAATCTTTTATTTTCTTTTTTCTTTTTCTTTTACCTTTAAATTCACTCCACACACACACACAATTACATATATATATATATATATATATATATATGCATAACACAAACATTACATGTTAAATTCAATTATCATGTAATTCAACTATCAAGGTCCAAAGGGGCACGATGGTAATTTGCTACAATTCAATAATTTGAGGCTTAAGGGCATAATAGTCATTTACTTGTATCACACAATAAATAAAATCAGGTCCGGGACAATATTGTCTTTTCGGTGGTTAAAATATATTTATTGTACTTTGATTGGGCCATAAGGTAAATACTCACAACATCAATTGGGTGCCAAAGTGTAATTAGAAAAATTAAAAGAAGAATGTTTATAGAACAAGAACCGGTTGATATATATACATTATACGTTAGCTGGTTTGGGTTATGAACAGTGGAAAACCCACTGCCGAGATACCGGTCGACGTGTGGGAAGCTACACGTGGACTGGTTTGGAACATACACAGTGAAAAGTTTATTGTCAGGATACCGGTCGACGTGTGGGAAGCTACACGTTGGTTCACGCAACTCGGTCGACCTATAGGATTTTACGTCGACTGGTTTGGGTCATCCTCACTCACTGTCACCGAGATACACCAACTTTGAAAGCCAATCACCCACACCACTACACTCACGTACATATGTAAATACATTTCAACATCCATAATAATAACAACGTTAACATAATTTACCACACGTTACCAAAAGACACTAAAGGATTAAATGATGGTAAAACTTAATTACATTACCCCACTGCCCATGTACATGCTAAAATCCAAATATTTTTCATATTGCAAAAGTAATACATCCTAAATCAACATCTTTACAAAATAAGTTCAAGCTCTACAAAAATACATCCAAAATGCTTCCTAAGTGCTCTCAAGCATGAGGTAGATTATCACCCGCCAACTCCTTGCCGTGACCTGAAAAAAATTTAAATATGGTGGGGTGAGCAATTTGCCCAGTAGATGGCACTTAAGACACGTCTCTTGTATCCCCGTGAACCCACAACAAGAATAGAACAATGGGAATGGGGATCATACCATATCGGGATATTACAACATACTAATCAACCTCAAGTGTAAACAATGTAATGCAATGGAATGCAATACATGCCGATGTCACTCCCCATTTTCACTTTTAAACTGTCAGTTTCAAACTGTTAATATAACCCGCCCTTTGGTGACCTTGCAGCGACACGAGAGAAGGATTGGCTAGTGTTCCTGACCCTTGGTTCCCCCGCAGCGTCATTATGGGACCCAGCTAGCTCAACCACGCTAGGACAATCTCCCTAGTTCCCTCTAAGCTATATTAACACTTCGGCCCTTTGGTATCCCCGTGGCGATCTGGTTTTCATAAAACGAGTTCATCAAAACAATTTCCCAAAATTCCCCCTTTCATTTCCAAAATCATTTCTCCCACTTCATGCCCAATGCCAATGCGTAGATGCTTCAATGCCATGTACATAATCATCATCTCACAACTAGCTCAAATTTAGTCATCAAGGCATACATTCACACGAATTTTTCCAAGAAGAATACAACATGCTTTTATACAATAGAAATCTAGCATGATGGACGTACAAATTCAACGCTTAGGCATGTTCTTCACTTAATTCATGTAATACACATAGTCACAAACTTAACACATTGTCCACAACAACTAAACAATTGGCTAGATACCACCCAAATTAAGCATGTTAAACAATCATTTATGGGAAATTAATTCACAAAAGTACAAGAACATCATGGATTAAGGACCCATACCTCAAGTTTGTGCAAAACCCTCAAAATGGGTTCCAAATTTCAAAATCCCTATGGAGGCCCTTTGTTAAAATTGTTGGTACTCACGCGTAGAGCTTGTCGTGCTCTCCGTTTTGGCTCAAACGGCACATAAAACTTCCAAGTAGAGATAGAGGAATTAAAGATCAAAGCTTGAAACAAAATAGAGAAGAAAAAGCAAGGAACCAGAGAGAGAGAGGGAAACTTACGGGAGAGACAGATAAGAGACCAAAAATGTGGTCTCTAGAAAATGAATGGGATAGTGGTTGATCCTGCCACCACTTTTATTTTTTTCTCTTTGCTTTAATTTACACCACATGAATACATGAAGCACACCATCATACAAATGATACATAGCTCACATAACTCAAAATATATGAAACGCAAATGGATTCAACTAAAATCCAGTACGAAAAATGTGAAAAGTCAAAAATGCCCTCACGGCGATAAAATTTCTGAAAAATTGAAAAATGCTGAAAATCAGAAACATCACATGTTACTTTTACGGAAGTATCATAATACTTTTAATTACATGTAAAATGACTATGTTACCCCTACTTCTTGTTGACTAATAAAAAAGATGTTTCAAATTTTTTATGAGAAAAATACCCCCCAAGTGACTCATAAAAATTATTGTGTACACGCGCCCATCATAATCATTCTCAACAAACCACCAAAACCCATCACCACCACCACCTGGGGCAAGGTAACCAAGGCGGTTTGCCTAAGGCTTATAGTAGTATGTATATATATGACCATAATTTTTACAATTAAAAGATAATATACCTTATACATCATATAAATTTATGACAGTAAATAACTTTTTAAAAAAAATGGTAATAAACACACATGCTTATAAAAAATACAACAATTTGTATGGTAACAATAAGAATATTTTATATTTAAACTCATAAACTTGTTTATTTTATTATGATATTAAACTTTTAACCTAGAAAAATTAATAAAGTTGAATAATTTGATCTTCCTTAAATTTATAGATAATGGACTGTCAGTGGGTTATTGTGGAAGACAAAATTCAACATCAAAGTTTGGTTGCAACATTTGGTAGTATGTAACTGATACTTTGTTTTCTGTTGTGACTATGGAATTGAGTGCATTTAAGACGGCTATTTTTTTTTTTTTTCTTTTTGAAAAAATGTATTTGTCGACAAAACAGTAGAATAATAGAATGTATTGGATTAGACAAAACTCGATACTTCTAATTAAGAAAAGCAGATTGTATAGGATAGCACAAAAATAGAATCTATATATATTTTGAAACGAGTCACTTAATAATTCTTGATCTCAATTAATTAAAGATAATTTAATTAGGTTGCCAACTAATAATTTAGTGGCGGTCATTGTTCATTTTATATATAAATATATTTTAAGGACATATCTGCCAACTAATAACAGCTTTTCTTCGATGTTACCTTCATATATTAATTAAACACCATTAATCACGCACTTGCTGATTAGATGTTTTAGCAAATTCATTGGCCACAAAGCATGTTACGTTACATAGCAATCATAAATGATTTTGAAAGACTACTTAGCAACCATATTGTATTTTGATGAAAGGAAATTGATATATAACTCGATATTTAATATTACGTTAATATAATCCATATTCTGATTAATTCAAAATAAAATAATCAAATATTTGATTATCAAACTCTGTATCATTACCCTTTTAAAAAAAAATTATACTTACTTAGAAAATGAAAGGAGGATGCCCTGGGTATATAAAACTTTTATCAGAAGCATATGATTATGAAATATTAGTTGTGAAAAACAGAGCTTTCTTTATTTCAAGCTTAACCATTACAAAGACCAATCAAAAAGAGAACCATCAAATACACAATCTTCTTTGTAATTATTGATTATCAAGAAATCCATACTACAAGATATAAATTTATACAAGAAGAAGACTATATGAATTAATTAATACACAGTTACACATTCAGTATCAATATTAATTAATACACAGTTACACATTCAGTATATATCTGCTAATTAATTATAACAGCTTCCATATATGCACATATGTATGAGCAATCAGCAAAGGTAGTTCTCGATTTGGAGCTCCAATCCTTTGCTATCCATAACCATAACTGACCTTATTTAAGAAGATATATAATAAATTAAAGTAGCCGAATTAATATATATCTCCGGCCAAACCCATCGCTAAAGACCAGCCACAAAAGTCACACCAGTAGAAGGCAGCCATGAGGTTCCAGATATAAAATTAGCCACAGTGAATTTTTCAGCCTCAGGTTTTCCAAGCACATGATAACCAGGCCATTGCACTCTGTTGGCAGTTCCGGCACCCGGTCCGACATTAGCATACTCCGCGAAGTACAGCGATTTCAGAGATGAACTCCCGGACCACTCAACCCAACCCCTCGACGCGATTGCATCATCTATATTCGATTGCATGATCACGGATCTCGAATACTGCTTCCAGGGCCTCCCGAGATAGGACCTAAAAGAATGCTTTACCGGAGATAAGTCGGAGCTGGCACCGATCTTACAGTTTTGGACAGAGAAGCCCGTGTTCTGTCCCGGGTCGTCCCTGCCGCTGGCAAGGATGGCGTTGTAGGACCCACCGGATCGCGGTCGTCGGAGCAGTAGACTGCAGCTCTGGAAGACAGCAGCTGCGTTGCCAAAGATGAAGTCAATGGTTCCGTAGATGTCGCATTCGCGGTAGAATTGGCGGAGGGAGAGAGCGTAGAGGGTGTCTTGGTAACCTGCAATGCTGCATCTGTAGAGGACGGAGTGATCTGAAGCAATGCAGAGTGCCACGGCTTGTCGACCGCTAGGACCAGCTGAGTTATGGAACCCAATGTCCTTAGCAATGAACCCATCACCTGTAATTGCTGCCCAACAAATACCGAGTCACGGATGTTAGCTCCGGTCAATAATCTGGTTTTACTTATTACTACTAGTAATACTAGTCTAATAGGATATTATATATTCACGTGAATTTCACGTGATATTAGTTTATTTATATAAACTTTTTACTTACTAATTAGTAGAGTTAGAGAGAAGGGGTTGAGGCTATTAAGACTTTGAATGATAGGGCGGGGATCAGGACGGATTTAGGAATTCATGTGAGGGGACAGATTTAGGAATTTATACGAGGGAAAAAAATTTATACAAAGAGGTTTTTTCATAATTTTAATGGGGGCAATTTTAAAATTTTATGAATATAAATGCAAAAAAATATAAATTTAGAGGTGTAAAATATAATAATAAAAAATTTCATTAGGGGCGGATGCCTCCATTGAACCCTTCACAGATTCGTGCTTGGTTGGGACACTTAGGGTTTGTCACCTTTTTTTAGAAAAAAATACATTCACCTTAGTTTTTCATTTCGGAAAGGCAGATTCAAAGGTGGCCCCCCCCACCCCCCCGCCGAAAATTATTATTATTATTATTATTATTATTATTATTATTATTATAGTTAGTTCTAGCTAAAAAAAAAATTTACTACGCTCTCCCAAATATTAGCCCATCCCATTAACAATTACTGGATCCGCCATTGTCGGAAAACAATTTTCTTTAATCAACTACTATATATTATACTAACAAAATTAACTAATAATGTTTCCTTTCTCAATATTTTTTAGGGAGTTATTGTAATATCGGACAAACATGGGATATGACAAATTTTGAATTTATTTTTCTTGTCAGACACGACATAAACACATTTACGATACTTTGAGAACATAATGTGATAGTTGTGTAAATTTTTTTTTTGAAAGAATATGTTTTCAATGTAATTTTTAAAAAATGAGTTAATTAAAAGAATAAATATCAAGATTGTAATTTAGTGATATTTCTTCCGATTCTAAAATAGATAGATAGTCAAAGGTTTAAGTCTCCATAAAGAAATGGGTATATGAGTGTGTATCGTACCAAAGTAAATATGTATATATATATATATATAAATATATTAAATTTAAAAAATACAACCATCTATTTTTAAATAAGTAATTTCATTTATGATATATAGTGGAAGAAATAAGTAAAAATTATATATATATATATATATATTATTTTTGACATATTTTTGTCATATTTGTGTGGTTTTTTTTTTTTTTCTTCTTCTTAGATTTGTTGTATCACTGTGTTTATATAGTATTGTACTCATATCCGTATCCGTACTTCCTAAAGTAGAATTATTTTTACACCTAAAAAGTTGGATGGAAGAGAAAAGGAGATGGATGAGTGGACTAAGTAAGAGAGATATGGCCACTAACCAAAGTGTGAGACAAGAAAAATTAGGCAGAGTGACTCCCAATAGTAAGAAAATTAGAGAGAGTAGAGTTAGATGGTTTGGACACCTACTTCGAAAACTTATAGACGCATCGGTTAAACAAAAACAACTAATCGTAATAGAAGATAAGAGACAATGAGAACGATAAAAAATAACATGAGATGAGATTATAAAAATAATTTAAAGAGTTAAACATAACTTGTAAAAGGAAAGATAGTAAATAGAGAATTCATGTGGTTGATCTTATGCAATGAGATTAAAATAAGAATTAGGATAATGATAATATATGATGATAACAAAAAGAAGAAGAGGAAAAAGATAATAAATAAAAGATAAATGGATAAGACATTCTTAGAAAAAGAATAATATCATCCAACTTCGGTTTAATTGGACGGGAGGGAAGTAATAAATGGTATTATTATTTTACTAACATATCCGCCCCTACCCATAAAAATTAAAACTTTATATTAACTCTCATTATTTTCCTGTCTCCTCTCTCTCTCACTTCTGGATGGAAGCAAAATGTTGGACCACCATGCTTCCTTTCCCTTGTGCTTATTTAACCCACAATAAATATTTTGAGACATACGTATCCGCGCGCGCGCACATATATATATAAATGCCCTACAATGCATATTTAGAAATTGGTTTACGTACACTCCAAAGGAAAAAAGAGAGACGATGATGAGGAGAGGAAGAGATATGGAGAGAGAGTACTAACTAAATGTGGCAGTTTCTCTCAAAGATGATCCCCCTGCATTGCTATCATCACCAACAATTGTGGTGGAATATTTACCATCTCCTATCAAGGTGATCCCATCTTTGCCAGTGTTAATTTTCTCCTTATAAACCCCTGATTTCACATATATCACAAACCGATTCCCGGAAGCGGCATGGATGGCTTCTGAGACCGTCTTATAGTTGCCAGTTCCGTCTTGTGCAACTACTGCATTGGCTTTGATGGTGGTGGCCTGAAGTAGTTTCCGGTCACTGGCCGATACCCACCTGGGAAAAACTTGATCATCTTCCTCAAGAAGGCGGCGATTTTTACTACTGTCTGGCTTGTGGCTGGTGATCCTGTTAACGAGTGCTAGTGAATTACTACCCAATTGAGATACATAATCCATTTGGTGTAAAATTGGACTCATGAGTTCATTGGCTAAACCATCAGCCTCAGCTTCGTCTTTACAAGTTTGTTGAAAAGTCAGTGCAGCACTAAGCCATGTTTGGATGTCCTCCTTGTTCTTTGTCGGGGATTGTTTGAGTGCCTCTAGTGCTTGGTTGAGCCGTTTGGTAGACATCCCCATGAGCTTATGACAATAATCTGCATGCACATATATAGTCAAACCAACGCGCGCTAAATTAAAGCTACTATTTGCATTATTAGCTCAGAAGCATTTTGTCGGTGTCTATATGTGTATATGATATGATTATCTGTATAAATAGTACTACTGCAACTGTAGTTGTAATTATATATATATATACTACTTCGCTGTTAATAATCATTTTTCTTGTAGTGTTACGTACGTACCTGTGGCAAGACGAGTACGTTGAGCTTCTGGGGTTATGAAATGGTAGCTGAGTTTAGCGAAATTGGACATGGACAGCTTGGTCTCAGAAATGGTCTTGTTGACAAGAGCAGACACAAAATCAACATGTTGAGGATGTGCTGACCCCAGCTCTTTCAAGCTTTCAACACACAGGGCTGGATATCTAGTGTAACCGCACTCGGTACGAACATGGTTTTCTTGTGGATCCATGGCAGCACATGAAATGGTGGAACCTCTTAGTAGTACTGCTGCACCTAACAACCAAAAAAACAAAATCCCTTGAATTCCCATATTAATTAGAGACAGATATATAATATAACAATGAAATAGTAGTTTATGAGCACAAATTGTTGTATATAGAAGATTAGAACAGATGGGGGTTCATATTTATAATAGAGAAGCTCATGTTTAGGGCATGGTTAGTGGCTAGCTAAGAACATTTCAAGCGTTAGTTCGATGGTCTATTCACTTGAGACACGACAAAGAGGTGATGCTAAAGATGTTCGAGTCATTTACCAAGACCTGAGCCTAGTGAGAAGCACTTTTTTGTGGCCCTTGGTGAGCCACTTGACTATGTCTTGGCCCCATTTATTGTACATTTGGTACGTGCTTGAATCATTTTCAGTGTATAAAAAGTTGAAACCCAACTCTAGAAAATTAAAGTCAGTCTATCCTTAGAAAAACTTTTAACTAAAAAGGTCATTGGATTTACAGTTTGTTTGATATTATGCAAGTGATAATTATGATATATATGCTGAACGTCTTTTGCACAAGAAAAAGTGTTGAGGGTGGATGATTGGTGAGTATTTAAGGAAAGATTTAGTGTTTAAGTTGATAGATTGATGAATTGGAGAATCTGAATTGAAAAAGCACTCATAAATTAAGACAAAAAGCAGACTGCAGGATCTTTACCTCGGCAAGTTGGGCAAAACCCAACAAAAGAAAAGAACAACTTCATCAAATTTTAATTGCATACTAAATAGATAGATGGTATGATGTGTTTAATGACTTCAAACTTTCACCATCATGATCTACAAAAGTAAAAAGAAAAAGAAAAGACTTAACCAAAAAAATTTGAACATTTTCATGCATTATTTAAAGAAAACTCTTAATTTGTCAACACGCAACAACCGACAAGAAACATGAGTTTGGATGGCTGCGATGGGCCCACATCCATATTTATGCAAGTGCAGCATGATTCTTTCTTAAAAGCTGTCATTGCGGGTGATTTTTTATTTTCTTTTTAAGTTAAGCAATTCACCTAGTTTTTGCTAAGACTCCAACCCTGACTTTCTCTTAGAGAGTATTTGAAAATACAGAAACAGAGCTTTAAACATCGGTTGTATATATTTTGTTTTGCATGATTGTACGGTTTGGGCTGCATGTGGGCTTGACCTAATTTCCTAGGTGTGGTTGATACATAGTTTGGGCCTAATGGCCTTTCTGTACAATTTTTCCTCATTAGTACACATTGCTTAAACCTCCCCGAAAATAAATAAATAAAAAATAAAAAATCTGACAAAGTGTAGGCTCTGCGTACTCATGTTGTGGAGTTTAGATGGAAAAAAAAAAAATTTGTTTATCTCTTGTGCACTGTTCGTCCACTAATCTCTCCACATAGAAGCATAGAAGTGGATCCTAATTCTGCACCAAATAGCAAGAATAAATTGTGAATGCAAAACCTATTTCCGAATCTTGAGCAATAGTCAACAAAATTTGATAAAATGAAACCCAATTCCAATATAAAGTAGAAATAACCGAATCCAGCAAAAGGGATGATAAAACCCTTTTAATCAAATCGAACGACGACCCATTTGAGTACAAGTCCGGACAACCATGACCAAAAGATAAATCAAGAAAATAAGAGGTTGAACCCTATTTGATAAAAATGACCAAATTGAAGCTTATAAAACCCTTTTATTTAAATCGAAAGACAACCCATTTGGGTATATGACCTAAACAACTATGAACAATAGAGAAATCAAGAAATCAGAAGTTGAGAAGGACAGAGATTACCTGAAGCTGTTCAACCGGAAAAGACCATGCTGAATCTCTTCTAGGTCTTCGTATTCTTGGGCCTGGGCCGTCTTCTGGTATCTCTGCTGCTCCATGGTCACTGTTAGCAGGCGATCTGTTTGGAGAGAGAGAGAGGCGAAAGGAGAACAATGGCGAGGGAATGAAGTGATTTTCAAACGCGTTGTGTGGCGCCAAAAGAAGCAGCTTACCCTGCACGTTACGCGCTTTCCGAGTCCATGGATTTATGAATGGTCCAAATGATAAGAAGCTTGGGCCTCCTCAAATTTTGTATTGAAGAAACCAAAACCCAACCTTAAATTCAGAACCCAAGTCTAGTGACAATTGCAAGTCATAATCAAGGGGCGATTTCTGGCACTTTATCCAATTTTTAATTTGTTTTAAAATTTAGAAGATAACTATTTTTTTAAAAAAATTATCAGGGATTTATCTAAATTTTATCACATTACATGGATTTTGTAATTTGAAAATATACCGCAAGCCATAATTTCACTAAAAATACTATTTTTGGAAAGAACAAAAAAAATTTCAATCTCAAATTCAAAGCACTCATTTAATTCTCTCAAACGGCAACATAAATTTAATTTGTTTTAATAAAGTGAAGCACTCTGTCTTTGATAGACTTATATTTAAGTTGTGGCGTCTACACTCTACAAAAATTATTAATTTTACTATTAAAATGTAAGTGCATATATAAAATGATATAATATTTTAAAATTATATAAAAATTGGTGAGACTCTAAGATGTCAGACCATAAAGATTTTCTTTGGTAATAGAAGTTGCACCACCAATGAGGGACTACCAAAAATAATAATAATAATAATAATAATAATAAAGATAAATTTTACTGACATTTTTTAAAATTAGGTCAAATTTTACATAAATTAATATTTTTATTTTTATTTTCAATTACACCCAAAATTATTTTTTGAGTTCTGACCAGTGCGAATTGACCTATTTCTTTTTCTAACAAAACCCACACTCATAAAACTCTCTCTCTCTATTTCTATATACACACACACACATAACGAGTACTGTAGTTACTTCAAATTTGGAAGACATAATATGCCATTCGATCACACTTGTCACTTGCACATTAGCACTTAAGCTATTAAATGTTAGAATTAAACTTTGGTTTTGCTTCTCGTTGGAGTTTTTCCATACCTAGTCCACAAATAGTCCTTTGTAATATGCTAGGCGAGTGTAATGAAACTGGGAAAAAAATAATAATAAATTCAGCTTCTGATGTGTGCGCATAGTAACAATATTTTTATTATTGTATTTTATTTTATTTTTCCCAATTTCACAATGATGTCTTTTAAGGGAGTGTTATTTGTATTTGATAAGATAACAGTAGAACTACCTAAAAGGAATGGATAAAATTATTTTTATAAAAAAATAAAAAGAGATAAAATTGTCTAATAAACAATAGTTACCTAAATTATACAATCATTTTTACAAGTTTAAATTTTTAACTTTGATTCGTTTAAAAGTTTTGCTTAATTAAAATTTATAAAAGTATTTTTCTTAAAATTAAACACATTTAAAAGTATTTTTCTTTTAGGTAGTTGAACAACAATCCCAAACCGATGCTTAGTAATAAATCAACAACGTTTTCTTAAAATTCTTCAAAACGGCTACCACATAAAAAATATAAAATAAAAAAACAAAAAATAACAACCCCCTAAAAACGAATATACTACATTTGTAAAATGATAAAAATTTATTATTATTTTTCCCAAATCTTTTGCCCTAACAAATATCATAACGTGCTTGAAATATTTGAAGTAGGTGGTGGTGGTGATTGACGTGTTGAGAGGAGATGGTGGTCACGGCCGGTCCTGAGATTCCTAAAAATTTAAAAGGTCTTAGGCAAACTTTTAAATGTAAAACCTTTTATACATAAGGTTTCACACGAGTCAAAAAATTATAAGAGTGCGAAATTTTCATTAAAATGAGACGTTAAATACAAAATATATTAAAATTAAAAACACACCAAACAAAACCCGACTTTGGCTCTTTATAAATAGTACGATTCAGTTTACATCAAAAAATTAAAAGAAATATTTAACAAAACTTAATTACAAAAATCAAAATTCAACTTCATATCAAAATAAATGTGATCGTCTTACATTTTGAGATGCAAATTTGTCAATTAAAATACTCTAATTAAGTTTTTTTAACATATCGTTGATTGTAGATAAGTTTTGATCAACTGTAACTTTGAAAATTTTTTCTCAGCAAATGCAACTGTAACTTGGATAGTCAATAATATTTATATGCAATCCAAATATTTGAAAAACAATAACTAAGTCTTTTTATAACATTCAATATCTCAATTGCCTTTTTTTATTCCTCTTGGTAAAACTTATCTTAATATTTGTAGCTTTGAAAATAATTATGTCCCATCAAAAAAAAAAAAAAAAACCATTTCATGTTTTAGGAAATCTTCAAGGTTATTTTGGAAAATATGACAGTTAATTGCATACATGAGTTAAATTTTTGGTTATTTAAACTGGGTTTAACGGAGCCTGTCATGCATGCACGTAAGACTAAATTTTTTTTTGGAATGGCTTTAATTGTCAGGTGAAACGAAGCGGACTGCAGTAGATTAAAAAAAAAAAAAAAAAAAAACACAATTATTTGTCTAAAACTTCTTTCACAGCAATTTGTGCTAGGAAAAAGCACATTGTCGGTGGTGGAAGTGAGAGAGATTTAACATGTAAATATGAAAGTCAATAAGCTTTAAAGTATTGTCGAATTCCTCCAAAAACTTTAATTTATTGACAAAAACTTTTAAGAGTTTGAACTTTATGAGATATTAAAAATTCTTCAATGACTGACTCCAAGATGTGAATGATGTACTTTGAGGTTTATAATTATGAGAAATTATTAGATAGTTTTTGTCCATTTGATATTTGGTGGATTAATCTCATAAAAATTAATGGTAATTTTTTTATAATATATTAATATATTTTTAGGTTATTTTTTCAATTCGAGGGTTTGAATTTAGCTGGTCATATAATAAAAATAGTTTAAATAATTAATCTTTTACATGATAATTATTAGTTTTGACTTCAGGACTACACTAATAAGACTCTTTCCTTGACTTAAAACGATTGATAATAACTCTTAAACCGATAACCTTAGCCAAATACGTCTAACAATGTAAAATTTAGAATCCAATGCTTAAAATTGATTTGACATTGTATAAATAGTGTTTTAACATTTGATCAACTTATAATTAGAAAGTTTGAACACACGTAAAACATATGTGATAAAATATTTCTGTTTTTTCTAATAAAGAGGTTTGACATAGTCTCGTAGAGCTTTTTAAATAGTGGGAAACTAAGTATATGAGTTTGATTGAGTGTTAGACAGGGCTATAGTCCATACATTGTTCACAGGGTTGTCCCCACTAAACTTATGATTGTTATGGATAGCGAAACTCTTATCTTCAATCTGAGGTTTCAGTGTTGAACACTTACTTTAAAATATCTAGGAATCTAATTAGGTCTTATAGATGATGATGTAATTAATAAAGATTTTTTAAAAAATTTGATGGGTTGGATTGATGTTAAGAGTGATTAATGGCTCAATTATGAATGGTGAGTAGTAGTTCAACTTTTAAAGCAATTTAAGTGGGCAGCAATATTAGTGAGTAGTGGTCCCCATTCAACTTTAAAAGCAGTTTAAGTGGGCAGCAAATACCTCTCTCTCTCTCTCTCTCATCTCAAAAGGGTTAGCGTTATGATTATGATGAAATTCCCACTTAAACTTCAGCATGGATAGTCAGCTCAAGTTGATCTCTAAAAGTTACTTCCTTTTTCTTTTCTTTTTTTTTTTTTTTTTTCCAATAATTATAACCAACATCAAAACAATTGCAGTGGACCTCAGATTATGTGACACATTCAAAAGTCTGGTGTTGGTAATTATAAAAATTTTATTTCTTGAATCGTTAATTTTCGATAATCACTGTAGTACGAACTATAGTACTAGTACCTTATTTCCTCTTTTCATATAAGTTTAATATTTGATGATTTTTTTTTTTTTTTTTTTTTAAATTAGAAATGCGATTCGAAAGCGAGACTTCAATGACTTACCTTCTAAATCCTTACCAATACCACTATGCCCCTTCGACAATACTTATATTGATGATACTAATATGAATTTTATATGATAAAATGTAAAAAAAATCTTGGCTATATTCTTCTAATTTATTTATCATTTTGGGAAAGATGTTGCAAAAAGACCACTAAAAAAATGTGAATTGTAACTTGAAACCATATTGATGGGTAAGAATAGAACAGATATGCATAAGTCAGTGGCGGCAATGCCCCCACTGAATTTTTCTTTTTTAGTAATATATCCTATTATTATAATTATTTTGATATGTATTTCTATAAAAATACACTATTGTCCTTGCTAAAATTATTAAAAAATTATACAATCATCCTTTCTCACACAACTTTCTGACTCCATTATTGTATAAGAAAGTCAACCAGTGATACAAATTATAAGATTACACCTAACATATCCCCCGACCCAAACTTATTTTATTAGTGTTGTTTTTAATTTTAGTTAATATTATTCTATTAAATTGTATCTTGCTGTTGTGTTACATCTGATAATTCAGTGGCCCATCAAATTAGTTAATGAGTGCTTTCGGTCAACCATGGCGAATTGGAATGGTCTTCCTTGCTGGCTGGCATTTGTTTTAGTTTTCTCTTGTACGGACAGGAGGAAGGGTCAAAACAAAATTATAGCCTTCTATTTTTTATGTTATTATATTCATGTTGAAAAGTGTAAAATTTTCAAACTGAGTTATAAATTTTAATTTTGTATACATGGTGTAGAGCGTAAATTTTATTAATAAAATTATTTTTTTATAATTTTAGCATTCACTAATCCATTTTGCCAAGAATTGACAAATTTCGCACAACTAATAGTTAATCGTTTCAATATTCCTAACAAACTTGATCCATTATTTTATAGACAAATTATATTGACATTCTTTCAAGTTAAATTAAATATTACATAAATAAATATTTAGCTTTAATTTGTACTTGCATTTGAAGAGTTGATTCGTATTTTATTCAAATCCCAAATGTTACTTTTACAGAGTTATCATAATATTTTTAATTACATATAAAATGACTATGTTACCCCTACTTCTTGTTAACTTGTAAAAAAAAATGTTTCAAATTTTTTATGACAAAAATACCCCCAAGTGACCCATAAAAATTATTGTGTGCATGCACCCATCATAATCATTCTCAACAAACCACCAAAACCCACCACCACCACCACCTCCTGCGGCAAGGTAACCAAGGCAGTTTGCCTAGGGCATATAGTATTATGTATATATATGACCATAATTTTCACAATTAAAAGATATATACACTTATACATCATGTAAATTTATGACAGTAAATAACTTTTAAAAATTTTTTTTAGCAATAAACGCTTATAATAAATACAACAATTTCTACGTAACAATAAGAATATTTTATATTTAAACTTATAAACTTGTTTATTTTATTATGATATTATTTTTAGTCTTATGTGTATGCATGACAGGTTTCGTTAAGCCCAGTTTAAACAACCAAAATTTTAATTCATGGGTGCAATTAACTGTCCTATTCTCCAAAATAACCTTGAAGATTTCCTAAAACATGACATGGTTTTTTTATTTATATTGATGGGACATAATTATTTTCAGAATTACAAATATTAAGATATGTTTTACCAAGAGGAACAAAAAAACGCAATTGCGGTATTGGATGTTATAAAAAGACTTAGTTATTATTTTTCAAATATTTGGATTGCATATAGAGTATTATTGACTATTCGAGTTACAGTTGCTTTTGCTGAGAGAAAATTTTCAAAGTTAAAGTTGATCAAAACTTATCTACGGTCAACGATATGTTAGAGAAACTTAATTAGAGCACTTTAATTGACAAATTTGCATCTTAAAATGTAAGACGATCATATTTATTTTAATATGAAGTTAAATTTTGATTTTTGTAACTAAGTTTTGTTAAATATTTATTTTAATTTTTTGATGTAAATTGGATCGTACTATTTATAAAGAGCCAAAATTGGGTTTTGTTTGGTGTGTTAACATTAATATATTTTGTATTTAACATCTCATTTTAATGAAAATTTCGTACTCTTATATAATTTTTTGACATGTGTGAAACCTTACGTATAAAAAGTCTTACATTTGAAAGTTTGTCTAAAACTCCTCAACTTTTTAGGAATCTGGCCACCACCTTCTCTCAACACGTCAATCACTACCACAACCTACTTCAAATATTTCAAGCACGTTATAATATTTGTTAGGGCAAAAGATTTGGGAAAAATAATAATAAATTTTTATCATTTTACAAATGTAGTATATTCGTTTTTAGGGAGTTGTTATTTTTTGTTTTTTTATTTTATATTTTTTATGTGGTAGCCGTTTTGAAGAATTTTAAGAAAACATTGTTGATTTATTACTAAACATCGGTTTGGGATTGTTGTTCAACCACCTAAAAGAAAAATACTTTTAAATGTGTTTAATTTTAAGAAAAATACTTTTATAAATTTTAATTAAGCAAAACTTTTAAACGAATCAAAGTTAAAAATTTAAACTTGTAAAAATGATTGTATAATTTAGGTAACTATTGTTTATTAGACAATTTTATCTCTTTTTATTTTTTTATAAAAATAAATTTATCCATTCCTTTTAGTTAGTTCTACTATTATCTTCTCAAATACAAGGAACACTCCCTTAAAAGACATCATTGCTAAATTGAAATATATATATATATATATATATATATATATATATATATATATATATATTGTTACTTTGCGCACACATCAGAAGCTGAATTTATTATTATTTTTTTCCCAGTTTCATTACACTCGCCTAGCATATTACAAAGGACTATTTATGGACTATGTATGGAAAAACTCCAACGAGAAGCAAAACCAAAGTTTGATTCTAACATTTAATAGCTTAGGTGCTAATGAGCAAGTGACAAGTGTGATCGAATGGCATATTATGTCTTCCAAATTTGAAGTAACTACAGTACTTGTTATGTGTGTGTGTGTGTGTGTGTGTGTGTGTGTGTGTAGAAATAGAGAGATATAGAGAGATAGACTTTTATGAGTGTGGGTTTTGTTAGAAAAAGAAATAGGTCAATTCGCACCGGTCAGAACTCAAAAAATAATTTTGGGTGTAATTGAAAATTAAAATTAAAATATTAATTTATGTTAAATTTGACCTAATCTAAAAAAAATTCAGTATAATTTATCTTTATTATTATTATTATTATTATTATTATTTTTGGTAGTCCTTCATTTGTGGTGCCAACTTCTATTACCATATAAAATCTTTATGGTCTGACATCTTAGAGTCTCACCAATTTTTATATAATTTTAAAATATTATACATTTTATATATGCACTTACATTTTAATAGTAAAATTAATAATTTTTGTAGAGTGTAGACGCCACAGCTTAAATATAAGTCTATCAAAGACAGAGTGCTTCACTTTATTAAAACAAATTAAATTTATGTTGCCGTTTGAGAGAATTAAATGAGTGCTTTGAATTTGAGATTGAAATTTTTTTTGTACTTTCCAAAAATAGTATTTTTAGTGAAATTATGGCTTGCGGTATATTTTCAAATTACAAAATCCATGCAATGTGATAAAATTTAGATAAATCCCTGATAATTTAAAAATAAAAAATAAAAAAAATAGTTATCTTCTAAATTTTAAAACAAATTAAAAATTGGATAAAGTGCCAGAAATCGCCCCTTGATTATGACTTGCAATTGTCACTAGACTTGGGTTCTGAATTTTGGGTTGGGTTTTGGTTTCTTCAATACAAAATTTGAGGAGGCCCAAACTTCTTATCATTTGGGACCATTGATAAATCCATGGACTCGGAAAGCGCAAAACGTACAGGGTAAGCTGCTTCTTTTGGCGCCACACAACGCGTTTGAAAATCACTTCATTCCCTCGCCATTGTCCTCCTTTTGCCTCTCTCTCTCTCTCTCTCTCTCTCTCCCCCCCTCTCTCCCTCTCTCCAAACAGATCGCCTGCTAACAGCCACCATGGAGCAGCAGAGACACCAGAAGACGGCCCAGGCCCAAGAACACGAAGACCTAGAAGAGATTCAGCATGGTCCTTTTCCGGTTGAACAGCTTCAGGTAATCTCTGTCGTTCTCAACTTCTGATTTTTTTGATTTCTCTATTGTTCATAGTTGTTTAGGTCATATGCCTAAATGGGTTGTCTTTCGATTTAAATAAAAGGGTTTTATAAGCTTCGATTTGGTCATTTTTACTTCAAATAGGGTTCAACCTCTTATTTTCTTGATTTATCTTTTGGTCATGGTTGTCCGGACTTGTACTCAAATGGGTCGTCGTTCTATTTGATTAAAAGGGTTTTATCATCCCTTTTGCTGGATTCGGTTATTTCTACTTTATATTGGAATTGGGTTTCATTTTATCCAATTTTGTTGACTATTGCTCAAGATTCGGAAATAGGTTTTGCATTCACAATTTATTCTTGCTATTTGGTGCTATATTGGAAGATTGGTGGTTATTTTTCTTCTTTTCGTGCTAGGATGAGGTTTGTTTTTAGCTACCCAATCTAACCCTAATTCCTCTTCTTTGTCATAAGAAGGGATTTTGCATCAAGTAATCAATTTTGTTTTTCTTTAATTTCAGAGTATTTGAGAATGTTGACTAACCCCACCAATTATTTTGATGATTAACTTCAACTTTTTAGCAAGTGAGAAGCCTTTGTTGACTGATAATGAGATCGTCTATATAATTGTATTTTTAATTCTTTAGGAAATCGGCGGGTCGTTATGTTGATTCCTTGAGGCATTTCTCATAACTATGATAGCCTTATTTTCTTGAATTCTCTGTTGATCATAGTTGTTTCCGTCTAGTGCTGAATGGGTTGTCCTTCGACTTGACTAAGAAGGTTTTATCAGCTTTCTTATTGGATTTGGTAATTTATACTCTCTATTGGAAATGGAAATCAACCTTCTATTTTCTTGATTTCTCTGTTGGTCATAGTTGTTTTTGTCTTACGCCCAAATGGGTTATCTTTTATTGGATTTGGTAATTTTAATTATATTGGAAATGGTATGATCCAATTTTGTCGACTATTGCTCAAGATTCTCAAATGGGTTTTGTTTTCATTCTCTATTCTTGTTATTAAGTGCTGTTATACAAAGATTTGTGTTAATTTTTCGTCTTTTCATGCTGGGGTTAGGTTTGTTATTTGCTAGCCATTCTAACTCCAATTCCTTTTGTTTCTCATAATTAGGGATTTTGCATCAAGTTATCATTTTATTTTCTTAATTTTAAGAATATTCTGAGAACTGTGAATTGTTGAAAACCCTGCCAATTTTCTTGATTAACTTTAACACTTATGTTAGCAAGTAGGAAACTTTTGTTGATCAACTATGAGTTCGTTTGGCTAATTTTTCATAACTTTTGTAAAATCAGATGGTTTTTATGCTGATTTATTGAGGCATTTCTCACAATTATAACCATGAGATCGTGTGCATATTTTTATTTAAATTTTTTGGAAATTCCAGGTTGTTGTGTTGATTTCTTGAGGCATTTCTCACAACTAGTACTGTGTTAAATATGCTCTAAAACTAGTGGCATGTAGAAAAATAAGGTCCGAAACTAATGTTGAGAAATTTATTTATTTTAAATTTCCATCTTAAAGGCATCTGGGATTGCTTCCATTGATGTAAAGAAGCTAAAAGATGCGGGTCTCTGCACAGTTGAATCTGTTGCATATTCTCCTAGGAAAGAACTTCTGCAGATCAAAGGAATCAGCGAAGCTAAAGTTGACAAGATCATTGAGGCTGGCATGTTTACACTCTTTCTATTGTTGCTGTTATGTTTTTTATTCCTTTCATCTGCAAATTTACCAGATAAATGAGAATAAAATCTTAAAGTGTGTAGTTTTTCTTGCGTGTTAACAGCTTCCAAATTGGTTCCTTTGGGTTTCACCAGTGCCAGCCAGCTCCATGCTCAGAGGCTTGAAATCATTCAGATAACTTCTGGATCAAGAGAACTTGACAAGGTCTTAGAGGGTAATTTTCTTTGATGTTACAATTTTTTCTTGAACGTTGAATACTACCTTAAACTAAATATTTAGTTCTTTAACCACATGCACGCATGCATGCACACACGCGCACACATGTACCAATCCAAGAATAATTGATTAAAGGTGATACTATGTAGTACTATAAGCTTGTGTGGTTGTCTTTGGCAGGAGGAATTGAGACAGGATCTATAACAGAAATATATGGCGAGTTCCGTTCGGGAAAGACTCAGCTGTGTCACACACTTTGCGTCACTTGCCAAGTAAGAAGTAGCTGAGTTCTATATATGGGGACAATGCATCAATTTACATACATATAAGCTCCCTGTTCTGTTTTTATGTTTCCATAAACCATGCTTCACTCAACTGAATCAATCAAGACTTCTGGGATGCCAAAGATTGATAATGACAGCTATTTATCAGGGTGACATTATTTTTTGTGCTTGCCTTTCTTTTCTATCTCATGGAGTGAACTGTTGGGTTGCTGGAATTTTTAGCTTGTCATCTGAGATTAACTATATTGGCCTAGCAAACTCATTATTATGTTGCTTCTTTGTAAACATCCATATGTTTGTTACTTGAATTTCTTCTCATGCAACTCATTCAGAACATGCCTCTATGATTTTCAATATTTCAGCTTCCATTAGATCAGGGTGGTGGTGAAGGAAAAGCAATGTACATCGATGCTGAGGGAACATTCAGGCCCCAGAGACTCTTACAGATAGCAGACAGGTGTTGTAGAGCTACCTTAAAATGAACATTTTGCATTTCTTTTTGTAGTTAATGATTTAATGGTGTTGCCTGGTGTAGGTTTGGATTGAATGGTGCTGATGTTTTAGAGAACGTAGCTTATGCTAGAGCTTATAACACCGATCATCAATCAAGGCTTTTGCTTGAAGCAGCTTCAATGATGGTGGAAACGAGGTATCATTTAATTTGTTTGCTTCTGGATCACTTGCTTAATATTTTCTTATCAGCTCTGTTTAAGACCAGAATAATGTCACGCCTGTCCTTGTCATGGGCTTCTTTTTCTTTTTCTGATTGAACTTTACTGAACTTTTGTCTTCACTCTTGGCTTAGTGGTTACAATAGAACATGCTTGCCTTTTGTAAGGTACAAAAAACTATTGCTTGTAGCAGATGTATGTGGCTTGGTATTTCTGTATTTATCATGGTTAAGCTGGAAAATTGACATCTAAGTTTACTTCAAGAAACTTGTGCTTTTATTTCAAGCGCGTGCATCTTTACTAAACCACGGACATATTTATTTTTTGAGTCAATTTTAGGCATGTATATCCTGTGAGCAAATTCATATTGGCCAAGCTTACTTTAGAATTTAAAACCAATAATATGGGCCTTAAGACCAAGTTTACATTTTAAGAAATTTGTTTTATTTCAAGCTTGTCCATTTTTTCAGAAATAGGGACATAATTTTTTTCCTATTTTTATTGACAGTACATTTTTGTCTTCTGTAAGCAAATGAACATTGGCTCTTCTATGTTGTAATTAATCGAATTTATTATCTCGTAAAAGTTTTCTAGAATTAAGAACTCTAGAATATAGTGAACAAGCATATATACATATATGCACTGATTTTAACGAACAGTTTCATGCATGCAAAATCAGAACAATATATTAGAGGTTTGAGTAGTTAAAAGCACAACAGTTCCTACAATATCTTATTATATAAAGAATCCATGGATACCATGCCCTTAGTCTATCTGAGTTGAGCTGGATTCAAGATTGAAGTATTGCAGGCGCTCAATCTAATTGTTTTAACTAATTTTGGTCATATAGGTTTGCTCTTATGATAGTGGACAGCGCTACTGCTCTTTATAGAACAGATTTTTCGGGAAGGGGAGAACTGTCAGCCAGACAAATGCATCTTGCAAAGTTCTTGAGAAGCCTTCAGAAATTAGCCGATGAGGTAGTCTTCATCTCCATTGTTGACTGACTCAACACAGTGTTGTATGCTTAAGGAATTCTCCTCGGCGTGGATAAGTTTTTAACAAGTTTTTCCCTTAATATTTTAGATTTATTGTGAATTGTATATGGTTATATGCTTACCAGGATTTGCCACAAAATTTAGATGCTACACCTCAAGTTACAGTAATATAAATATATATATATATATATATATATGTATATGTATATATATATATATATCTTCCTTTTTCCCCTGGTAAGTTACAGTTTAATATTGTTACTTATACGGTTTCCTTTTCCCTTTATTTCTTTTTATTTTGGATGTAGTTTGGTGTAGCTGTTGTAATTACAAACCAAGTTGTTGCGCAAGTGGATGGTTCTGCCATTTTCGCTGGGCCTCAAAATAAACCAATTGGTGGTAACATTATGGCTCATGCTTCTACAACAAGGTTTGTTTGTGCTACAACTCTCTCTCTCTCTCTTCTTTCCCCCTATTATCCACATTCCTTGTTTATACATAGTTCACTGTGCATTGTCCATCCCTTTGACAGGCTTGCTCTCAGAAAGGGAAGAGCGGAGGAGCGTATTTGTAAAGTAATAAGTTCTCCATGCTTAGCTGAAGCCGAAGCACGATTTCAGATTTCTCCAGAAGGTGTTACTGATGTGAAGGACTGATCCTAATCGGTTCTGTTTGTGCTACAATTGGTTTCCTTATTGCTTGCCCCGTGACAAGCTTGCTCTTGAAATAGAAAAGCTGGAGCATGGTCTAGAATTTCTGCAGAAGGTGGTGTTGTTACCCATGTCAAAGATTGATCCTTACCAGCTTCTTTTGAGGACATTTTGTTCATTAATATGTGTCCTTGTATCATTTACGGATATACAAGCAAGCAAGATATGTCAACCTTGGATTTTTGCTTTCTAGGAACATTAAAATTTTGTAGAGCAGTTGTGCTTTAATGCAGTTTTTCTTCTTTTCGCTGTAATATGATATCTCCAAATGTTCTTGTATTCTCATGGAGGATTGCTTAATGGATGTCCCTTTTTGTTAGTGGTGCTTATGAATGCTTCATCATATTATAGAGTCTTGAGGTTTTGCTTATGCAAGAGGTCAATTGTGAGTTTGATAAAGATTTGTCTGTGTTGAACCATGATTAAAATTTAAAGTCACACACCCCTCTTAAAAACTGGAACTTAAGTTGACACTCTAATTAGGCCCGTAGAAGGCAATATTTAGTATGGTGGGAAAGAAAAAAGGGATAACATTAGTTATGAGGGAAAGGGAAGGATAATTTTAATGTAATATTTGTGAGATATATATATATATATATAATGTTAAAAGAAATAAAGCTAGTGGACCCCACCAATACTTTAGACACTACAAAAGGGCCTAAAGGCCTTTGATTAGACTGCTTTTTCTCTCTCTGCATATCTCTCTCTCCTCCGATTTCAGTAGCTTCTTTCCTTTTCTTTTCTTTTTTCTTTTTCAATTTCAAGTTTTCCACTGAAATTTGAACTCCTAATCTCCCTTTGGAAAGTAAGAGCCTGGTACCGCTAGGCTTGTTGGTTCAATTTCAAGCTTTGATTCCTCCTTCCATACTTGGAATTTTTGGGTGCCGTTTGTGGCAAATTGAAGAGCACGGCGAGATCTACTTGTGAGTACCAACAATTTCAGTTTTGGTGCACTCTAAGGAGTTCAAAATTCTAGGGTTCTTAGGCTTAAATTGAGGGTTTTCATCAATTTGAGGTAGGGGTGCTCTAATCCACTAATTCTTGTATTTCTTGTGAATTTTTTCCCTTAATTTGACTTAAGCATGCTTACTTTTAATTTTTTTGTGATTATGTTTATTAGGGTTATTTATATTGATGGTGATAAATGTGTGTTATGTGCTAATTGGGCTTATTAGTATGATGATTTTTAACTTGTAAAGAAGCATGCTTAGTGTTGGTTTGTTTTCATGATTTTCAATTACTATGACAATTTATGTTATGAGTATGGAAATGAATTTGTGAATTGTATATTTAAATTACTAGTAAAATGAGAAATGAGAATATGAGTTGTCCATTTTTAGTAACTTATTAATTTATTGAAACATGTATGTGGAAACTTTATGATTGAATTGATGAAATGAAGTATGAAGCATTTATGCATCCATTGGGAAGAAATATGAGGAAAAATGTTTTAAAATAAATGAAATTTGTTCTTGGAAAAAAAATATATAATTTTTTAAAGGAGTTTGCGAAAACCGAACGCCTAGGAGGTGCCTAGTGGTCCGTGATGTTAGTGTAGTCTAGAAGGGAGTATGGTTGAGCTAACTAGGCCGGATGCGACGCCTTGGAGGTGCCTTAGGTCGGATTACACTAACGGTTTTGGAAGTTAAAACAGAAATGTTTCGGAAGATGGGAAGTGACATCTGCATGACATTGTACTTCATAACATTGTGGTAAACTTGTAATTGGTTGATATTTGTTACATACTCGTTATTGTATTTGAGAATGTGCGTTTCTTTATAGCATGATCCCATTCACTTTTTATCTATTCATTGTATGGATTCACAGGGATATAAGAAGTGTGTCTTAGACACTTCCTACTGAGTTTATGCTCACCCTATTATTTTTTTAACATTTTTTCAGGATATGGAAAAGAGGTGGCGGACGACGATCCACCACAGGTTTAGACGAGCTCGAAGACCCATTCTATTTTGTTATCTTTTGTATTAAACTCTAATATTTTGTAAATGTAATATTAACTACCTTGTAAAACTTTAGTTTAATTAGTATAATGTTATAAGTTATGGACTTTTAAATTCTTACTACATTTTGGACTGTAAATTGATGTAACTAAAGTGTATCCCTTGTTTGGATGAGATGGAGGAACGGGACTTCTGTATGTATGTAGTCATTTTGGGAATGTAATATAATATCTGTATTGTACGTTGGGACATGATATGTTAGATTTAAGGCCCAGTGAGGCCATTGCGTTTATTTTTTGTATTTCAACAAGTCGTAGAGGGACTTTTTCTGTGGAGGTTATGCCGAAATTTTATATATATTTTTATTATTATTTTGGTATATCCTTTTGGGGCGTTACAAATTTGGTATCAGAACGATGGTTCAAATACCATTAGGACGACGGGTGGAAGCCTAATTAGGATTACATGGGGAGTTGAGTTATTTGTTTACTTGCTTAATTATTTATGTGATTGCATGCTTATATGCCTATGTGTTAAGGTGTTTAATTATTTGAAAGGCATGCTTAATTGTTTAAATGCTTATATAATTACGTGTTAATTGGTTAATGTTGTTGTATATTATTAGCATGATCATGTTTATCCTTAGTTAGGTATTTTGGGAGTATGGAAGGTGTTTATGTGTTTCCATTCTTGTCAAGCAATTCATGTGAGGACTCAGTTTTCGGACGTGTTTTAGTACCATCGTTTTTTATCTGTTTCCTTTTTCTTATAGCATCATGCCACCATGAAGGGATCCCGGGGAAAGTTTTAGCTCCAATCCCGTGGAAAGGGATCAGGAGCAAGTTAAGGAAGATATCTTGTTGCGTGATTTGGTCCCACCAAAAGGGGGACAAGTGAAGGGGACCGTTGATCCACCTTTTCAGATAAATGAGGAACAATTGTAATTGGCTGTTGAGGCAGCTCTTTTCAAAGTATTTCGACCAGCAGGTCCGTCATCGTTATAGTTTGTGCCACCACCGGCACCGCCACCACCACCACCACCTCCAAAGACAAATGAGTTGAATGATACTCTTTATCACATTGCAAAGTTTGTGAAATTGATGCCAACTCTGTTTGAGGGCGGCCTAGATCCGTTTGTTGCGGATAGTTTCATAGATAGGGTGGAGAAGCATATTAATGCCATGAACTTGGCAACGGACAAGTTGAAGATCATATTGGCGACTTACAATTTTATTGGTGATACTGAGATATGGTGGAAGATCGTTTTACACACGCACGATTTGGATACTATGACATATGATAGTTTCAAGAAGTTATACTATGAGAAGTACTTTCTAGCGCTTAAGCGGAGGGAACTAAATAAGGAGTTTGATAGGTTGAAGCAAGGAAACATGACAGTTACAGAGTATGAAAACAAGTTTACATCGCTTTTGAGGTTTGCACCGGGGATTGCTAATGATGAAGAAGGAAAAATAGAGAAATTTATTGATGGCCTTGATCTTACTATTAGGCCAATTATAGCTGTTTTAGAACCGACAGAGTATGCAAAAGTAGTGCGAAAGGCCTTAGTGGTTGAGGCTGAGAGCAAGGACAGCAGGCTATCAGGGAGTCCTACAAGCACAACAAGGGTATGAGTGCTTTCTCCGAGGGTCAATCAAGTAAGAAGCAGAAGTATGAGCAGTCAGGGTTCAGGGGACAGCAGTCAGTCAGATCCGCATCCACAGCTTTAGTGTCCATGGGGTCTCCTAGATCGAATGTTACTTGTTTCAGATGTGGACAGCCAGGACATTACAAGTCTCAATGCACTCAGGCTCAGGTAACTCAAGTGATTTGTTTCAAATGTGGGCAGTCAGGGCATCACAAGTCCCAGTGTACTCAGATTCAGGTGGCATCTGGTGGATGTTTCGGGTGCGGCCAATAGGGCCATAGGGTGAAAGATTGTCCACAGCGGGGCAATAGTTTGGGCAGAGGTGGAGGTTAACAGCAGAGGCAGATGCAGTCTGCCACAGTTTAGTCAGGGTTTCGACCGCCACCACCACCTCAGCCGTTTCAGCCAGTTATGTCAGCCCAGAGTTCTCGACTTGGTAGGGGAGCTTCTTCGAGTACACCCACTCAGTAGTCTGGTTATCAGGCAGACGGTTCTTAGGGGCAGAGGACCCAGTGTCGCGTGTTTGCACTCACTCCAGTCGAGCCACCATTCAGTCCTTCAGTTGTCAGGGGTATGTTTCTTGTGTCCCATTCTTGGGCTCGTGTATTGTTTAATTTCGGTGCTTCTAATTTATTCATTGTTTTATCATTTGCAAGGGCATTGGGTTTGGAGGTCAGTCAGTTAGACAGACCGCTTTGTGTTGACACGCCTATCGGGAGTTCAGTTGCTCTTAATAGAGTTTGTAGGAGTTGTTCCATCACAATTGCCAGACGTGTTCTTGAGTTCGATCTCATCCTTCTCGAGATGACGGGATTTGACGTCATTCATGGGATGGACTGGTTGTCGTCCTTCAGAGCTGTTATTGATTATTTCAGGGGCAGAGTTTCAGTGTGTACCCCGGATGGGGATTGTTTCTATTTTGTGGGAGATTGGTGTGATCCTCTCACTCATTCATTCTATGGTGTTAGGGGTCGGGATCGGCAAACGTTCTTCTTGGCTAGCCTTTTCGCCGATGATGACGTTGAGTTTTATGGGGTTGATTATCCAGCGGTTGTGCGTGATTTTTTGGATGTGTTTCCGGAGGACTTGAATGAGTTACCTCCACACCGAGTGGTGGAATTTGCTATTGATTTGATGCCTGGTACCGCGCCAATCTCTATGGTACCGTATCGTATGGCATCAATTGAATTGGAAGAATTGAAGAAACAACTTGATGAATTGAGGATGAAAGGCTTCATCCGGCCAAGTATGTCACCGTGGGGTACACTGGTCTTGTTCGCTAAAAAGAAAGATGGTTCTTTGAGGTTATGCATTGATTACCGGAAGTTGAATCATGCCAACATCAAGAACAAGTATCATTTGCCATGGATAGATGATTTATTTGATCAGATGAGGGGAGCCAGTTGTTTTTCGAAGATTGACTTGAGATCAGGCTATTATCAGTTACGGGTTAGAGAGGAGGATATTCCCAAGACCGCTTTACGTACGCAGTATGGACATTATGAGTTTCTTGTTATGCCTTTTGGTTTAACTAATGCATCGACGGCATTCATGAATTTAATGAACCGTGTCTTCCACGATTACTTGGATCAGTTTGTGGTAATTTTCGTGGATGATATTCTTGTGTATTCACGGACCCGGGAGGAGCACGACGTCCATTTGAGTATAGTGTTGCAGATTCTACGGGAGCACCGTTTGTATGCCAAATATGAAAAGTGTGAGTTTTGGCTACAAGAGGTGAAATTTTTGGAACATGTTGTCTCGGAAAGTGGGGTTTTAGTTGATCATTCAAAGGTAAAGGCAGTTTTTAATTGGGAGTAACCCAAGAATGTCCTTGGTCTAGCGGGTTATTATCGGAGATTTGTGAATGATTTTTCCCGTTTGGCAGCTCCTATGACCAGATTGACCCGGAAAGAGATTAAATTTGCATGGAATGAGGCCTGTGAGTCATCCTTTCAAGAGTTAAAAACAAGGTTGACTACGGCTCCGGTGTTAGTGATACCTGAGCGTGGTTTGGGTTATGTGATCTATTATGACGCCTCACGTGATGATTTGGGTTGTACTGATGCAAGATGATAGAGTAGTGGCTTATGGGTCTCGACAGTTGAAGACTCACGAGCTTAACTACCCTACTCATGACTTAGAGTTAGCAGCAGTCGTGTTTGTTTTGAAGTGTTGGAGACACTATTTGTATGGTGAGAGATTTGAGGTGTTCTCGGACCACAAAAGTCTCAAGTACCTTTTCTCCCAAAAGGACTTGAACAACAGATAGAGGCGATGGGTTGAATTCTTAGAAGACTATAACTTTGATTTGCAGTATCATTCTGGCAAGGCAAATGTGGTAGTTGATGCTTTAAGTCGGAAATCTCGTGGGACTTTGGCTAGTTTAGCGATTCGGAAATGGAAGATGCTTGAAGATTTGGCTGAAATGGGATTGTATTGCTTTCATGATGATGATGATGGCAGTGAGTTAGCATTCTTGTTTAGTCTCGTGGCTCAACCCACTCTTGTTAGACGGCTGATTGAGTCACAGAGACAGGATTCAGATTTGGATGCCATTTACACTTTGATCTCCAGTGGCGAGACCGTGAAGGATTGGACCTTACATGCAAATAAAGGTCTACGGTTCAGAGGTTTGTTGTTTGTTTCCACAGTTTGTCGTAAGGACGTTTTAGTTTCACACTTCCCGCTTTGCAGTTCATCCGGGTGGTACCAAAATGTATCATAATCTGAGATATCAGTATTGGTGGAATGGAATGAAGAAGGACGTTGCACAGTTTGTGGCTAAGTGCCTTACCTGTCAGCAGGTGAAGGCCGAGCACCAGAGACCAGCTGGTTTGTTGCAGCCATTGCCGGTAGCGCAATGGAAATGGGAGGAGATTGCAATGGATTTTGTGACCGGTCTTCCTAGGTCACGGAGGGGAAATGAAGCCGTATGGGTCATTATTGATAGATTAACTAAGATGACTCACTTCTTACCTATTAAGGTAACAGATGACGCAGAGGCACTTGGTGTACTTTATGTGAAAGAGATTGTGAGATTGCACGGAGTTCCGGTGGCTATTGTGTCGAATAGGGATGCCAAGTTCACCTCGAAGTTCTGGGAAGGACTTCAAGCAGCGTTTGGCTCAGCGTTGCACCTTAATACAGCATTCCATTTACAGACGGACGGCCAATTAGAGCGTACCATCCAGATCTTGGAGGATATGCTTCGGGCCTGTGTATTTGACTTGGGTGGTAGTTGGGAGGATCACCTTCCACTTATTGAGTTTGCCTACTGATAAGTACACAAAACTCTTATTTCATGCATCAAAATAAGTTTTTAATTAGACTATTATATTATTTAAACATTCTTATATGCTCATTTTTGTGTTTATAGGTGTTAATGTATGAATGAGAAGAAAAGAAAAGAAAAAAGCAAAAAAAATAGTTATATTGTGTATATGTGTGTGCATGTAGTGAAATGAAGAAAGAGAAAGAAGAAAAGAGTAATCTAGAAAATAAATGAGGAGAGAGAAAGAAAAGAAGAAAAGAAGATTTGTGGGTGCACGTGAAGAGTAGGAATAAAGAGAGAGTGATGATGAGGAGAGAGAGAAAGAAGAAAAGAAAAGAAAAAATGTAGGAAATGGTCAGTGGCGCGTGAAACAAGGAAGAAGCATTTTAAGCCCATCATCACAGCTTACAAGTAGGTGTCTGCCTTTGGCTATAAAAGGCACACTTCAGAGGCAAATGAAGAGTAGAAATGTTAGAGATAGAAAATAGAGAGTTATAAATTGTTATAGTTTTTGAAAGTTTAATTTCTTGTGTAATTTTCTTTAAAGTTTTATTTAAGTTAATGCAAGTTATTTCCATAAGTTTCATTCTCATTTAATTTCTCATTCAAGTGTTTAAAGTTTTATAGTCGTAATTTCATTTCCATAGTTCGTGACAAATCTCAAAATCAATATTTTTAAATCTCATGTTCGGAAATAGAAACTCACATTGAATGCGTAGTTCGACCCTACTTGCCATTAGACATTTTTAGTTAAATGGTTGTAGGTATTATATGTTGATATGGAGTGTATTTGACAACGACAAGTTTATAAATACACGCATATCAAATGGCGTCGTTGCCGCTTCAAAGTTTAGTTTTAATTTTTGAACTATTTATTTTCTATCTTCCTCTCTTTTCATTTTAGTTTTACTAATATTAGTTTTTAGTTTTTTGTTTTGTATCCGTCACCCAAAAAAAAAAAAACAAAACATTCTGATTTTCTTCAACTCTCAGTTTTAGAAAGAAAAAAAAATTCGTGTTCCACTGTTGGTGTTTACCTACAATGCCCAGTGCTTTGTTAATTGATTTTCAAAAAAAAAAAAAAAATTCACTGTTTCGTTTGGTTTTGTGGTACTGAATATCATTTATATATATTTGGAAAGTCAATCTTTCTTCTTTTATGTGAAGAAGAACAAAAAAATAAAAATAAAAAAAATAAAAAATCAATAAGCAAACCCAGTTTGCTTCACTGCCATCCTTGCTGTTCCCCATCACGGTTGATCCGTCCTTTTCACTGCCGGACATCTTTTTCTCACAGCTGTTTCAGCTCACCGCCGTCCTCTGCCTTGTGTTCCCGACCCACTTTGTCGTTGTGCACTCCAACACCATGTTCACATCAGCTGCAACAGTGCAACACCATGTTCACTGCCACCACCGCTGAGCTCTCCACCACCGGCCTCATCTAGCAGAGCTGACCGAAGCCGAAACCGCCGTCAATCCAACCAAGTTCATCCGAGATCGCAGCCGAGTTCAGACAAGTCCATCGCTGTGCAATCTCGCCGCCCCGCAAGTTCATAGCCGCGCTCATCGCCGGTCCGTTTCAGCCGCCGTTCACACCCCGTCTCTACTGGCCGTCTTGTCTCGCCGGTGCAACACCACAGTCCTTCATTCTCACCGGGTTCGCGACTTCTCTGGTCGCAAATTCGCTGCCATCCGAGCCCATCGCCGGCTCT